CTTCTTCATCTTCATTTTTAAATTGTCGGATGTTACATAGTCAAAATAAGTCAAGTTTGAAATATTTTCAAGCCTTTTTAAAATACTGCCATCAAAACTCAAATCCACAAAAAAATTACTCACTATAATTTTTTTAGTACGCTTCTTAACTCTCTCCTCAAATGAATATTCATAGTCTTCAACAATACCTTTATATGTAAACTTGTTGTATATGAATTTAACACAACTCAAAGCTCTTACCAAGTGCATGATATATTAACCTTGATTTCAAATTAGTCAGACCTCAAAATAAATATGACACTCCAAATGAGAAACCAACAAAAACAAGTATTCTAGTTCATAATAATAGGGATATATAGCATCATAATCATATATGTATATGTTCTACAAGTACATCTTTAACACTCACCAAATTTGAAAGTAATATTTGTATATATAGGTCAAGTACATAACTAATGAAGTACTATATTATATAACTTTAGTCTTGTAATAAGGTGATTTATTTCTTCTATAATAAGAATTATAATATAACTTTATCCTTTGATTTTCTTCTAAACTTTGTTAGAAATTTTCTCAACAAGGCCTGAAGTATCTCTTTTGTTAATGGCTTCTCATAGTATTCATCAAGCACAACTTCCATAAATTGTTTGCGATATTCTTCATTGTCATCTGGAGTTGTTATTCTCACAATCATCGTAGTAATCCCCATCGATCGAAGTTTTTTTGTTGCCTAGTAAACGAAAAAAATGTTCAATAAAATAAAAACACATTTCACACATAGATAAACGTTATATTGTTTGGATTTTTCAGAAAATATGCACGTGTGTTACACGTGTATATCAAATCATGTCATATCATTAAAACAAAAATTCGAGTAAACAATTACACATAAAATTAAGATTAAATTGTAATTAGTTAGGAATTAATTACCTCGACACCTTCCATAATAGGCATAATTGAGTTCATTAGAATTAGATCAAAACACATTTGTTGTGGAAACTTGGAAAGAGCAATTGGCTAAGAGTGTTTTTATCTCTTTCTAAAGAGGTATATTCTTGAAGGAAATATTTAAATTTCTCGAATATATTGACTTTTGACATTTTTTAATTATTGTAGACCTTATTTTATTGTAAATTAGTTTATTGTCACGTGCGTTGTACGTGTATATCGAATCATGTTGAAAATTTTCAAGACTTTTTTTCTAATTTTGGTTTTAAGTAAAAATTCCAAATTAAAACTACAATTAACCAGTTAAAGTTAAGTATAAATCTAGTACTGAAATCTCAAATCGGAGCTCGTAAAATAAAACCTGTTTTAGTAAATAACATTTTAGTTCTCTAGGTTAGTCGGATCTCAAAACTGAGACTTTACACTGATTAAAAATAAAATAAAAAGTTTAATCCTTCAAAATGAATTTTCTGACGTGAAATCAAGTTAGTCCAACCTCAAGACAAATATGAGCCTCATGAAAAATTTTCATAAATAAAATTTTCCAAAATTTGCTATTGGAAAATTAATAATAGAAAATCGAATTAAATGAAATATGCTCAAATTTGTTGTTGGAAGGTTGAAAAGATAAACTAGTTAAATTTAATGTTATTGTATATAAGAGTTGATCTTTTTCCTCTTTCTAAAGAAGCATTGTTGAAGCAAAATATTTAAATTTCTTGAATATATTAAGTTTTGACATTTCTAATAATTGTAAGACCTTATTTTACGACCCCTCCCTCCTTTCTCCCCATGGATGTACTCAAAATAAGTCAATGTCGATGACCTAATCGAAGTAACTATTAAACTCTTTTTTACAAAAAGAAATAAAAAAAAAATTAGGCTTAGAGAGTCTTTTATTTCCAAATCAAATTTCTACATAGGCTTGCCTAAAAAGGACCCAACCTATTAAAAGTAATAAAACAAAGCAAAACTATAAGAAAAGTTAAAAAAAATTGAAATATCTCGAAGTGTGAACAACAACACTTTTCAAAATCAGTTATCAGAGGGAAGATTATGAGACGTCGGTGGCGGCGGCAACGACGTCATCTTCACCTAATCTGACTCCTCTGCAAAGTTCTGCTACCTCGCATAGACAAAGAATATCACACCAAGCATGTCGTTAAGCTCTATGAGGTGACACTATTTCAAATTCATCTTCCAAATAAAGTATTTATATCCTAACTAAACCTTCAATTCCACTTTTGAAATACTTGCTTCTAGTTTTGTGAGCTAATTTTCTTGCCCGGATTATTGTTTGCATGCGGTAAAGATCAATCTTTTTAAGCCAAAAATCTTGTTGTCTGGATGATGCAAAGGATACCTGAAATAAAATCAATTTTCTTTTATAAATCTGAATTTGATGGATTGAAATTCAAAAGATTTTATACTACGATCAAAAACCAAATCTACAAAAAGATTACTCATACTAATTTTCTTAGTACCCTTCTTAACTTTCTCCTCTAATGGATATTCATAATATTCAACAGTAACTTTCAATGTAAACTTGTTGTATATGAATTTAACACAACTATAGATAAAATATGCTATTTTAATCCCCACAAATTCTAATTTTATACCATATATAACAACAACTCAAAGCTCGTATTAGGTGCATGATATATTAATCACTATTTCAAATTAATCAGACCTCAAGATAGATATGGCACTCTGAATGAGAAACCAACAAAAAGAAGTCTTCTATTACATAATATTTAGTCTTGTAATAAGGTGATTTATTTCTTCTATAATAAGAACTATAATATATCTTTATCCTTTTATTTTCTTCTAAATTTTGTTAGAAATTTTCTCAACAAGACTCTGAAGTATCTTTTTTGTTAATGGCTTCTCATAGCATTCATCAAGCCCAGCTTTCTTAAATTTTTTGCGATATTCTTCATTATCATCTGGAGTTGTTATTCCCACAATCATCATAGTAATTCCCATCGATCGAAGCTTTTTTGTTGCCTAGTAATCGAAAAAAAATGTTCAATAAAATAAAAATACAATTCACACATAGATAAACGTTATGTTATTTGAATTTTTCAGAAAATATGCACGTGTGTTACACATGTATATCAAGTCATGGCATATCATAAAAACAAATATTTGAGTAAACAATTACACATAAAATTAAGATTAAATTGTAATTTGTTAGGAATTAATTGCCTCGATACCATCCATAATAGGCATATTTGAGCTCATTAGGATTAAATCAAAACGCATTTGTGTTTTATCATGAATATTGAATGTCATAAATCCATTTCTTACTCCCAATGTCTCCACTCCAAAATTTTGAAGACATAATATATATGAATTTTGAGATATGTCATCATTAGCCACAATAAGTACACTTAGCTTTTTCACCTCATTAAACTTTCTCTTACCCTTTGAAGAAGAAGCATTACTTGAAGACATTTTTCTGAACAAAAAATAATAAAAGTTTAATTATACTTTATAAATTGCAATGAAAAAAAAACATAACTATTGAGCATAGTTCTAATTATACCTTTCTTTGTCTTTTGAGGAAAAAAATACTTGAAAACACATTATACTAGAAAAATATTTTGATGCTCATTTAAATAGGAGTCTCGTGATAAGTTTTCAGAAATGAAATTTGCCAAAATTTGCTATTGACATATTAATAATACAAATTAAATTAAATGAAGTAATGCTCAAATTTGTTGTAGAAAGTAGGAAAGAGCAATTGGATAAGAGTGCTTTTTCCTCTTTCTAAAGAGGTATAATATATTCTTGAAGGAAAATATAAAAGTTTCTTGAATATATTGACTTTTGACATTTTTTTAAATTATTGTAGACCTTATTTTATTATAAATCAATTTTTTGACACGTGCGTTGTACGTATGTATCAGAACATGTTGAAATTTTTTAAAACATTTAAGTAAAAATTCCGTATTAAAACTACAATCAACCAGTTAAAATTTAGTATAAATTTAGTACTAAAATCTCAAAACGGAGCTCGTAAAATGAAACTTATTTTAGTTCTCCTGGTTAGTTAGATCTCAAAACTAAGATTAAACACCGATTAAAAATAAAAAAAAATAATCCTTCAAAATGAACTTTCTGATGTGAAATCAAGTTAGTCAAACCTCAAGAGAAATATGAGCCTCATGAAAAGTTTTCATTAATAAAATTTCCCACAATTTGCTACTGGAAAATTAATAATAGCAAGTCGAATCAAATGAAATATGCTCAAATTTGTTGTTGGAAAGCTGAAAAAGATAAACAAGATAAATTTGATGTTATTATATTTAAGAGTTGATCTTTTTCCTCTTTCTAAAGAAGCATTGTTGAAGCAAAATATTTAAATTTCTTGAATATATTAAGTTTTGATATTTCTAATAATTGTAAGACCTTATTTTACGATTAATAATTTTTTGACACGTGTGTTGTATGTGTACATCAAGTCAAGTTTGAAATATTTTTAAGCCTCTTTAAAATTTTGATTTTAGACCCCCTCCCATGGACGTAGTCAAAATAAGTCAATTTTGAAATATTTTCAAGCCTTTTTAAAATATTGCCATCAAAATTCAAATCCACAAAAAAATTACTCACTATAATTTTTTTAGTACACTTCTTAACTCTCTCCTCTAATGAATATTCATAGTTTTCAACAGTACCTTTATATGTAAACTTGTTGTATATGAATTTAACACAACTCAAAGCTCTTACCATAGCCATGATTTCAAATTAGTCAGACCTCAGGATAAATATGATACTCCGAATGAGAAACCAACCAAAAGAAGTATTCTAGTTCATAATAATAGGGATATATAGCATCATAATCATATATGTATATGTTCCACAAGTTCATCTAATTAACACTCACCAAATTTGAAAGTAATATTTGTATATATAGGTCAAGTACAGAACTAAAGAAGTACTATATTATATAACTTTAGTCTTGTAATAAGGTGATTTATTTCTTCTATAATAAGAACTATAATATAACTTTATCCTTTGATTTTCTTCTAAACTTTGTTAGAAATTTTCTCAACAAGGCTTTGAAGTATCTCTTTTGCTAATGGCTTCTCATAGCATGCATCAAGCCCAACTTTCATAAATTGTTTGTGATATTCTTCATTGTTATCTGGAGTTGTTATTCCCACAATCATCATAGTAATCCCCATCGATTGAAGTTTTTTTGTTGCCTAGTAATAAAAAAAAACGTTCAATAAAATAAAAACACATTTCACACATAGATAAACGTTATATTGTTTGGATTTTTCAGAAAATATGCACATGTGTTACACGTGTATATCGAATCATGTCATATCATTAAAACAAATATTCGAGTAAACAATTACACATAAAATTAAGATTAAATTGTAATTAGTTATGAATTAATTACCTCGACACCATCCATAATAGGCATAATTGTGCTCATTAGGATTAAATCAAAACACATTTGTGTTTTATCATGTATATTGAATGTCATTTAAATAGGAGTCTCATGGTAAGTTTTCATAAATGAAGTAATGCTCAAATTTGTTGTGAAAACTTGGATTACTATTGTGTCCAGGGGACAAATCCTATTTGAAATGGATGGTGTGAGTTTGTCAAATACTCGACAAGCCGCTACATTAGCGGCGCATAAACTATGTTCGTCAACCAAGTTTGTTCAGTGGGAAAGAGAAATTAGCTAGGAGTGTTTTTACCTCTTTCTAAAGAGGTATATTCTTGAAGGAAAATATTTAAATT